TAGTTCAATCTAACTATCCAAATAAATTATAAGAACACAAATCTACCATGTTGCAAACTACCATGTTGCAAACTACAAATGTTCTCAAGTTCCAAAATTTATAATTGATTTAAAACTTGAAATAAATGGACAAAATTAAGAGTAAACAAACAAAACCGATATTTCATACCCAAAAATATGTTCATGAATAGACATGATATATTCAACTATTTTCATTTGACATTTTCTCATTATTACCGGTGCATTTGTCAGTGTTATTTTCTGTGCCAGTGTTTGAGCATTGTTAATTTCAACTTATATACAACAAATAGGATATATAACTTGTATAAACATACTAACTCAAGCTTGTGTATATTTAATAATAATGAATTATAATCTATACGGAGAAATGAAGCAGAAAAATAACAGGGTTCTGTTACCTGAAGAACTGAAAGTGACAGAAACCAAAAGCTGGAGAACTGAAGAACTGAAAAATAACAGGGTTCAGCTTGATTCCAGCAGCAACAGAAACCAAAAGCTTGTCCTTAAAGTGACTTCAATTTCAACGCAACTTTCTTTTACTGCAACAACAACAACAACAACAAAGCTAGTCAATAACGACAATGTTTCTTTCCTAAATAATGTTCAAATCGATGAAATACCTGATTAAGGTTTAACCGAGAAAACGTCGATGTTGCTCGCACGATGGAATACGCTGTAGTTGGAAGAAAGGACGATGATGCTGATGGTCTCAAAAGTGGTGCAACGAACAGGGTTAAACTGAGTGCTTACGATGCGGGAAGGTGGAAAGACGCAGTAGAAGGTTGGGTGAAGTGTCGATTGAAGGTTGTTTGAGAGAGAAAGACGGCGATTGAAGGTTGTTTGAGAGAGAAAGACGGCGATTGAAGGTTGGGAGATTCAACGATTGGAGTTAGAAGATGGAAACCCTTGTTTTCCTTTTCAGTTTTTTTTTTCTTTTTTCTATTTTCTATTTTTTTTTTAAATTTTATCCTAAAGTATGAGATTGAGAGGAGTGAGGATCATGTTGACTTAATATTTTTTCTTTTGAAATGTGTAAAATTTTATTTATTTTAGATAAATATCTATTTTATAGTTATATATTATTATATAAGTTACAAAGACAACAAATGTTTAAGTATAAGATTTTAAGTAATTTTTAGTTCCTTTTAAAAATATCATTAGTTTTTTTTTTAATTTATATTAAAAAAAAATTATTGATTAATAGTATATATAAGTTTATAAGACTTTACCGAGGGTTTAACCGTGGGTAATTACCGACGGTGCAAAACCGTGGCTGCTTTCCATGGCTAAGCCGTGGATAATGTTTAAAAAAGATATAATTGATATTGTTTCAGGTACTCACGAATTACTGACGAATAAACCCTCTATACCAAAAAATTATCGACGACTACATGGCCGTGGGTAATGATCCGTGGGTATATACAACTTTTCTTGTAGTGTTTACTGAGTTTGCATACCATGTTATCCCCCTCACTTGGACAACCAAGTAGCATATCCATGTAGATTTCTTCACTTATATCTTCATTTAAGAAGGGATTGTTTATGTTAAGTTGTGCCAATTTGAAATTCTGAGCAACAGCTAAGCTAAAAATGACTCTCACGAATGTGAGTTTTGCCACGGGTGAAAAGGTATTTATGAAATCAAGGCCAGGTTGTTGGGTGTAACCTTTGGCAACCAATCGAGCCTTGTGTTTATCTAATGAGCCATCAATATTGAACTTTGTTTCGTAAATCCACCTGCACCCAATGATCTGTTTCCCTTAAGGCAAGGCTTGTATTGTCCAAGTACTATTTGCCTCTAGAGCTGCTATTTTTTTCACTCATGGCTTTGTACTATTCAGGGATCCTTGCTGCTTAGTGATAGAAATAGAGTTCATAAAAAGATGACGCATTCATAACAAACTCTTTGTAATTATCAGACAGTCTGTCATAAGAAAGCACATTAGTGATATGATGAGGGATATGGCACACAAAGTCTTTCAAGTTAGATGGAGGTTTGTGTGTTCTGGCTGACCATCTTAGACCGATTATGTTTTGGTCATGTGGTACAATTGGATTTGTGTTGTGTGTAGGTTCTACAGGATTTGTGTTATGTAAGACATCTATATTGTTTGGTACAAAATCATCAATATCATGATGTAAAGGATCAGAAATGGAATTTGGCAAGGCTATGTTATGAAAGGGATCATCATGGTTGTTATTATCAGATAAATAATGGAAGGGTAAATTGTCTTCATGGAAAACAATGTCTCTAGATACACGGAAGGTATTAAACACCAAGTCATACACTTTGAAACATTTGTATCCCGCTGGATAGCCAAGGAAAACACAAGGAATGACTTTATGGGTAAATATGTTCCTATGTTAAGGAATTGTAGAAATGTAGCATAGACATCCAAAAACCGTGAACTCAGAATATGCAGGTAATTTTTCATAAAGGATTTCATAAGGTGACTTACTCTTCAAAACTACTGATGGAGTTCTATTTCTGATGAATTTGGTTGTGGCTATACAATCTCCCCATAATTTGATTGGCACCTTGGCTTGAAACATTAATGAACATGCCACATTTAGCAACTGTTAATGTTTTCTTTCCACCAATGAGTTTTGATCAGGTCTATAATGACAAGAGTATTGACGAATGATGCTTTGTTCATGAAGGAACCAAGTCATTTTTAGCTCATTGGCATTGTCTGATCTCATAGCTTTAATGACTTTGCCAAATTGAGTCTTTACAAGAGTAAATAACTGTTGTATCTTGATAGGAGCTTCTGATTTTTAGCTAGCAAATAAATCCATGTGAAATGACTGAAATCATCAACAATAGTTATAAAATATGATTTTCCATGATATGTAGGTGTTCCATAAGGACCTCATAAATCACAATGAACAAGATTAAATTTGTTAGCAGAAAAATGATTTTCAGTTTTAAAAGAAAGTTTTTTCAACTTGGCAAGAGGACAAATAATAAATTTGTGTGAATCAAAATCAAAAGGGTACAATGAGTTGGAGTTTATTGCTAGAAATTCTAAGCATAGAATAAGATAGATGCCCTAACCTAAGGTGTCATAGCTGGGCATTATCACTACTTGAAACTACATTACAAGAGCTAAGTGTATTACAATATTTAGGTGAGATAACATGATGCTTGGTATTGTTTTCCCTTAGAATGTACAATCCTGATAGGAGGTCACCCTTTCCAATCATCTTGGATTTCTTGGTGCCCTGAATGGAAAAATGATCCTCATCAAAGATTAATTTTACACGTGTAAAGGCAAGTAACTTAGCTACTGAAATTAGATTGACATGAAAAGTAGGAATGCATAAGACATATGGAAGAGTCAAGTAATCATTGATAACAACTTTCCCTATGGCTTTGACAGGTATTTGAATTCCATTAGGAAGGGTAACAAATTTTGCTAGCAAAGGTTTGTATGACTCAAAAAATGATAGATTGCAACAAATATGAGGAGAGGCACCTGAGTCTATGATCCAATTGCTAGAGGATTGTGATTTATGAGAGTCAAGAGCGGAAAAACTCATACATATGACTGAGTTAACAAATGTAGTAGCTTCATAAATCCCTGCCTTGGACATTTGAGTTTGAAGGTACTGAATGATTTGTTGGAAGTTCTGTGAAGTCATATCTACCATATCAGGAACATACTCATTTCTTGTGTTGCCATGATCTTGAACATGATTGCTTTCTTGAGCTGGCTTGTAAGCTTGAGTCTTCTTGTATCCAAGAGGGTAACCATGGAGCTTGAAGCGTTTTTATTTGAAATGGGGCCAATGACTCCACAGTGAGCACAAGTTGGTCTTTCCTTCTTGAAGCTCTTGGAACTGCCTTGCACAACACATGCCATAGGTGTTTCAATGTGAGGGATTGTGGTAGTTACTTCTCTTTGTTTTTCATCTTGAGTAACCATCGACAGAAAAAATTTTATTGAAGGCAAAAGATCCATAAGCAAGATTTGTCCACAAACCTGATTGAAAGATTTTGTCAAGCCCATCAAGAACGTGAGAATATATTCATTCTGTAGGTGATCAACAATGGGTTGCACTCCACCGCAGTGACATGTATGCACAGGTCAACATTCTCCTAGTTCTTCCCTCAAGGATTTGAATTGAGTGTAGTAAGTGTATATAGTTGAAGAACCTTGGGTGCAGCTTAACAAATTCTTCTTCAGTTGAAACACACAAGGACCATTCTTTTGGTGAAATCAATCTTGAAGCTCTTTCCATATTTCAGCCACATTTGCTGCATAGATCAAACTTGTATATATTTCTTTGGAGACTGAGTTAAGAAGCCATGATAACACTGTAATATTGTTTTGCATCCAAGAATGAAACTAAGGTGAATTTTCCTCTGGTTTTGGAATAGTGTCATCCACAAAATCAGTTATGTTCTTGCCATCAATAGCCATGATCATCGCACGTTTCTATGAATTGAAGTTGTCTCCGGTGAGTGGTTGAGAAACCAAGATGGCGTCATGGTGATCAGAGGAATGCAGGTAATACGAATCACAAAACAAAACACGGTAACGAAATCAATAATATTTAATGATACCATATTATAGTAATTAGTTTGCATGAAAAGTGCATGATAAGAAATATAAAGATGGTGAAGATAATGATGTGATTCATTCATAAGATACTTCCACATATATAGGTGTAGAAGCTATTACAAAACAATTAGTTAGTTACAATAATATCAGCAAGTCAACTAACTTAGTCTATAAGCAACTAACTTTATACTAAACTATATTAAAAGCCCTTTATATATATATATATATATATATATATATATATATATATATATATATATATATATATATATATATATATATATATATATATATATATATATATATATATATATATATATATATATATATATATATATATATATATATATATATATATATATATATATATATATATATATATATATATATATATATATTGAAGCTAATTAATTAATTATGTAGGCTTGTTTGATCAAGATCATCTACATCTAATGACATAAAAACTTCGTCTAGCCATGAGACCTCTGATCCATTATCATCATCATCATCGCTATAACAACAGCTTTCACCTTGTTGTGACATCTTCTTTTCGTACACTTTGCATAAAACCCATTTGCTCCAACTCTCATCCTGTCTCACACAATCTTAAAGTTAATACAAATTAATTGATTTTTCTTTTTCTATTGGAATAGGTAATTAACAAGTTAAACACAATCACTTACCGAATTTGGTCTTTCCGGAAATTCAGATTCAGAAATATGATACTCTTCCATTATCCAACTGGTTTCAGTTCCTTCGCCAAGGTTGAACACAAAATACTTCTTTATTCCCAATTTATTTATAGGTTTTGTGACCCCAATTTCCTTCCAATGTCCATTTTCAGTGCTTCTATTTTCCTTCTCTTCGGTGAAAAAGTAGTGTTGATTTCCACTTGATAATGCTTTACCTGTATATATCGTCATTTATATCTAGATATATAAAACATGCATGCTGAATTATAAATTTTTTGTTTTGGTTCTTTTTGGGGTGTTATTAAACAACTATAAAAGTACTATTATTTTAAGACGACATTTAAATAGATTTATGTATGAACTTTGCATACATTTTTCAAGGATTACATATAAAAGTTATTTTAACATGTATCTCGATGATATTTGAAAGGTATTCTATTCATACAAGTGTTAGATGAGTTTGGTATATCTCCCGAAGGTTGGACCCGTGGAGTCATATGCGTGTTAGTGTAGTTGGGAGAGTGAATTTCATCAACTCTGTCTTCAATTCTATTTCGATCTTTTACTTGTTTTTTTTTAAAGATATCATTAAAAGTTTGGAAAATGATTATTAGGCTCCAAAGAGATTCTTGTGGGGGGTTTTAGATGAGTATGGTGTCTCTCAAAAAAATAAGGTGAGTAGGAAGTTAGATAAATAAATCTTGAGGTTAATTATAAAACAACTTGAGTAGAAAGTTAAGGTAAATGAATGTTGAGGTTAGTAATATGAGTTTTTGGGAAGATGGATCATGGATTTGGCATTTTAGATGTAGACAAGGTCTTTTTATTTAGAAGTAAGATTTTGTTGTAAATGTGTCTTAAAATTTTTGTTGATGAAGAGAAAGAAAATATATTTTGAAGATTGTATTTATCGTAAAAATTAGAAGTTTTAGAAAGTTGGATGAAAAGTCGAGAAAAAAAACGGTCGGTGAATAGTGATGTCCGTACAGTGAATAGTGATATCCGTACGGATGAATAGTGGCGTCCGTACGGTGAATAGTGTTGTCCGTACGATGAATAGTGTTTTTGAGTTTTAGGGCTTTTTCGATTCGGTCCATGGATCCATGTGACTTTGGGCTTTGTTTGTTGGATATTTGCTATTATAAATATGTATCTTTTATATGTTTGGTGTGTGACAATCTTAGAGTTTTCACCAACAAGGGAGACCAAGGGTTTAAAGGTATAACATAAGGTTTCAGCTATGCACAAAGAAAACCTTGGATTACACTTTGAGTTTGAGTGATTCATATATTGAGAGTTGAGAAGGTAGGGAAACACTTGGGTAGAAAATAGGGTTGTTCTTGGGCGCCTTCAGAGTTGTTCTTGAGAACCTGAAGGCGAATGCAATTTTCTTGTAACTCATATGTAATCTCTTGTAACAATTTTCTGAGTATAGTGGATTAGAAAACTGCTCTCTCTCACAGAGTAGATCGTTTGGTCGAACTGGGTAAACAAACCTTCGGTTTTTTCTTGCCTTATTCTGTTATATTATCTGTGTACAGATTATTATTGTTGAAGACCATTTATTTTGGTTGCTATTGTTCTTTGCCTCACAAATTGATATTGAATTTTGTTGTAATTCACAACAAGATTTACAACAAGTGGTGCGATGAGCGTGAAGCAAAGAGATATTGTTGACAAGTTAACACCATGGTTAGTAGATGGCAGATCGAGAAATTTTCCAGTAACAACGACTTCGGGTTGTGGAAAATTAAGATGCAAGCAACTTTAATTCAAGAGAAGTGTATCGATGCTTTGAAGAGTGAAGCATTGATGCCTGCATGGCTTACACAGGTACAGAAGATCGAGATGGTGGATAAGGCCAGGAGTATCATTATCTTGTGCCTCGGGGATAAAGTTCTAAGAGAAGCCGCCAGAGAGCAAACTGCGGTTGCTATGTGGGAAAAACTTGAATCATTGTATATGAAAAAGTCTTTGACTCACATGTTATATCTGAAACAATAACTCTATTCATTCCGAATGGTGGAGAACAAATTCATAGTTGAGCAGCTCACAGAATTTCACAAGATTATTGATGATCTTGAGAATATTGAAGTGAAGATTGATGATGAAGACAAGACTTTGTTCCTGTTGAGTTCATTACCCAAATCTTTTGAGCACTTTAAGGATGCCCTTATTTATAGTAAGGAAGGTACTATTACTTTGAATGAAGTCTAGACAGCGGTGAAATCCAAAGAATTTTCAAAGTCGAAAGATTTGAAGATTGAAGATAGTGGTGAAGGCTTAAATGTGTCAAGAGGAGGAGGTGAGCGTAAAGGGATGTCCAAATCAAAGAGGTCTGACAAGTCAAAGGTAAAATCTTTTAATTGTCATAAAATCGATCACTTTAAAAGGAATTGTCCTGAAAGAAAGATCAATGAAGATTCTGTTCAAGCCGTAGTTGCATTGGTGAGGAAACTTATGAGGATGCCAAAGCACTAGTAGTATTGAGTTTGAAAACTGAAGATAATTGGGTCATTGACTCAGGTTTCTCTTATCACGTGTGTCCAAGAATAGAATACTTTGAAACTCTGAAGATGGTGCAAGGTGGAGTAATTTTTCTTGGTAATAATAAGGCATGCAAGGTTCATGATATTGGTACAGTCAGATTTAAAATGTTTAATGATCGTGAACTTATTATTCACAATGTAAGGTATGTTCCAGAACTCAAGCGAAATTTGTTATCTATAAGTATGTTTGATAATCTAGGCTATTGTACTAGAGTTGAACGTGGATCGTTGAAGATTTCGCGTGATGAATTGATTATTTCTAAAGGGTCTAAAGTATATGGTCTATATATTTTAGAAGGTTCAAATGATATTATTCATTCATCATTAATTAGACGAGGCTTTCATGACAAGGAAGAGCTATGAGATTTGAGTTTAAGGCATTATGAATGAATGTTACCGCTGAGTTGTTATTGAGTTTTTGGGGAAGAGCCGAGGTTAAAACAACTTACTTGGTTGGTAGAGAATTTCTTTAGAAGAAGAATACTAAAAACCAAGGGAGAAACCTGGTAGAAACTATAACAGAGAAAACTTAGTTTGAGGTGGAGTTTCCTACTATGGATGCTAGCATTAGTGAGGGAACGGTTACAGAGATCTCTGATTATCATTTGACTCGTGATAAGGTAATGAGGGTTATTGTAGCATCTTAAAGGGACGGTTATGTTAGCCTTGAATATTATGTTTTTAATGTGGCTGAAAGACTGCAAAATAAAAGAAGAAAAACCTTCAGGAAGACATTTAAAAACAGGTGGAGTCAATGGTGGTTGAAAAATCATACTCGTAGGCTTGTTAAATTACCTAAGTAGAAAAGGGTAATTGGGAACAAGTGGATTCAAGTTGTGAGATCAAGATTTAAGGGTTGCTTGAATTTGATCAAAGTTATTGATTAAAGTTTCAACTTGGTAGAGAGCAGCAATGTTGTTGATTGTTAAATTGGTATCAACATGGTTTAAAGTAAAGGTGGAGATTGTTGTAAATGTGCCTTAAAACCTTTGTTGATGAAGAGAAAGAAAACTTATTTTGGAGATTGTATTTTCAGCAAAAATCTGAAAGTTTTAGAAAGTCAGACGAAAAGTCGAGAAAAAAATGGTTGGTGAATAGTATCGTCCGTACGGTGAATAGGGATGTCCGTACGGATGAATAGTGACGCTCGTACGGTGAATAATGTTGTCCGTACGGTGAATATGCTTTGTGTGTGACAATCTTAGAGTTTTCACCAACAGGTGAGACTAAGGGTTTAAATGCACATTTACAACAGATTTGTCTAGTGATACTTCATAGTTTATGAAATCAATTACTCCCTCCCAAAAGTGAGACACTTGAGAGGTGAAACAAGGGTGAAGACAAAGTATACTCAATTAATCTAACATATCTTTCTCTTCTGAAAAGTAGGATGTAGAAAGAGGTGATTTTTCCAAACAAAGTTAGTTATATTTTACATCTAGTTTGAAAGAGTTGGTTCTTTTATAGAAACCTCTTTATACAAAAAGTGGTTATGAATCATGGTGATACTTTGTGTATTTTTTGTCAAAACCCGTTGGAGTCGACCGATAATCTCATTGTCACCTAGGTGGTTAGAGTGTGATTTGATGTTGTCTAAGAAGATTTGTATTGTGCTTGAGTAGTTTAAGTCTCTAGGTGTTAGAAATAAGGTTTCTCTTAGCTTGATCCTGACATGACACGTCATATAAACTCTTTGAAAATCTTAAATGATGTTATGTTTTTTTTTTGTTAGATACACAATAGAGGATCCGGTGAATATGATACTCTTCTTTTCTTGAAAATTTCATTTTATTAAGACTTATTATACCTCTTGTATCTTTTTTGAGTGGAAGACGAGTACTTTATTTTGCATTAATTGATAGAGACTCGTGACATTATTTTTTTAGGAGTAGCGTGTTTGTAAGTTATACGAGAGTTTGTTTGTGATTCTATTTACTTTCTATTTGTCTATTTGTTGGTGTACTTTGGTGACGGATGTGCGGCCAAGTTTTTTTAGTTTACTTTTGTCTTTTTGATTGGTTTTGACTTTTATTTTTGTATTCTTTTAATTTTCTTTTCCTACTTTCTCAATAGTTAGAATTATTATAAAACTCTCATGACCTTTACAAAATTCCATAAACTTGAGAACGAATTGACTATTTTATATTTTGACTCTTTTGCTTTCGCCCAAATTTTAAATTATCATAATTCTTTTTCTTAAAACTTGAAGTGTGAGTTAAGACAAAATTATCCTAAAACTCTCACAACCTTTACAGAATTTCATAAACATGAGAAAGAATCGACTATTTTATATATTAACTATTTTGTTTTTTGTTTTTCGTTTGAATTTTAAGTTATCAGAATTCTTTTTCTTAAAAATTGAAGTGTGTGTTGAGACAAAAATGAAAAAAGACATTATAAACTTAATGTTTTTATATTAGTAGGCTATCTTTGAAAAGATGCAAGTGAGACTACAACTCATGCTTCAAAAAAATTAACCATTTATGTTAAAACAATTTGTCGTAATTAAACGTAAAATAGTTAAATAAAATTTCATAAAATATTATTTATGATAATTAAATATAATATTTATTTATTTTTTTTATAGTTAAACTCCGATTAATTTACCGCTTTAAATTAAAGGGCGTATTAGTATTGTATATATTGAAATAAAAAAATGATCAAATGATGAGAGATATATATCGATTGCTTAGACATACCGTATAGTTGCCAAGGATGATGTTGAGACAAGTTGAGTTGAGGTATGATGTTAGGATAATATGGTAGAGAAGCCTTGGAAGATAGAAAGTGAAGAACTAGTTCTTCATCCGTTGGAGAAAAGTAAAACCCAGGTGGAAGCTTCACACTACTTTCACTCCCCATGAGTTTGACTATGCTATAAAATATATTGTATGAATATGAATACCCTTCATCACAAACAGCTTATATATAGCAATATTTAGTGATCTGATTCAGAAAAAGAAAATGTGTGTTGCGTGGAATACCACTACAAGAAAGTGGGGCCGTCAGAGAAAGCAGCTGTCCAAGGAAGGAAGCCAACAATTGAAGCTAAGATGTAATTCATCATTTAAGTAAGTTAACATCAAATTAATTATTGTTATGACTATTTAAGCTAACAAGAATTGAGCTTATCTGCAACATTAATGCATGATTCCGACTTTTCTTTTAACGGTTAATTATTTCCTCACCCATTTTCCTATGGCTAGGTATAGCTTTACATAACCCATGACAAGTAGGTTTTCCTTTGCACGGAGATTCATACTCTATATAGGGCGACCCATTTCACACATTTTTTTATTTAAAAAATTATATATAAATTAGTTTTAGCTATTGTACCTTTATTATGAAATGTTAAAGAATAAAATTATTATTATTATTATTATTATTATTATTATTATTATTATTATTATTATTATTATTATTATTATTATTATTATTATTATTATTATTATTATTATTATTATTATTATTATTATTAATATTATTATTTTAAATTAATATAATTGAATTTAAAATTGCAATACTAATATTTTATATATTTTATGAAAAAATTTATATATAATAATAAATTTTATGCAAATATTTATTAATATTTTTATTTTTATTGAATAAAATTAATTTAATAATATTATATAAAAGATAAAAAAATATAATTATAAATATTTTTTTACATTATTTTATATTTATCAGCTAGAATAACCGTTAATTTATCAAACACTCAATTTAATTTATCAATTATATAAGTTATCAATTATCAACTATAGACTATCAACTATTTTAGCAGCTATCAACTATTTTTACTAAACAGAGACTAAATATCACATTTAAATTATATGTTGTTTTTAATAATTTTATATTCAATTAAGTTTATTATATTAAAATCTATTTAATATTCGTATTGATATATTAAAGTTATAATTATTTTGATTTTTTTGTCAAATAATCTGATGATTAGAATTTCTCCCTTTTGAAGGTGAATGTGCATGATTAGGGATGGCAAAGCATGTGGTCTGTTTTGTTTAAGACCATCAAAAATTGGAGCGGGAAAATTTAAATTTTCAAGCTTAAAAAGTCAACCGCATCCCCCGTTTACTAACGAGTTGGGGATTGATAGGTCGTCCACCAATTTTTTTAATTATTTTTTTCAGTTTGATTTACTACTTTATTTATATCTTTTTTTAATAACTTACTACTTTATTTACAAATGTTTAGACCATATTTTATCATCCTCCAAACAATAATACACATTGTAGTGTTATATTTGGCAAAACCTTAGACTAGGGCGTCGTTGCCTAATAATCAGATTGTTCGATCGAAATCCAAATGAGTTGCCCAAGAGATCCACCCAACGTGGGAGTTAAGTAAGAGAGAGTCATCGTTGACTCTGAGAAAATAGGCAGTTAACAACCTCCCCTAGTAAGAAGGGAGCAGTTCAGACCATATTTAGGAGGTAAAAACTCTAAGCGGTAGGGATTCATATAAATATTGTATCCCTCAAGGGGACAGGGGACGAATTTTTACGTTATACATATTTAACACTACTCAGAGAGAAATAAGCTCTTAGTAGCCTTAACACCGTCAATATAACTGCATGTATGCAACATAACAGCGCCGACCATCATCAGGGCATCTCACCTCACGTGAGATACTCCTTCAAACAACCTCAAAAATAATCGTATGGGGCTACTCGTCATCGTGAGCTTGCCCTCGCCCCAAATGTGTAATTTACCTACTAGAGTCTATGAGTCTCTCTATCCTCGCAGGGGGAACGAGCACACCCTATACTTTTTGGACAGTACAGTGGCATCCACTGTGGGCCCTAGTGTCATACCCCAAATTTTACTCTCAAATTCTTTAATCTTTTGCATGTCATTCTAGGCCAATCATCTTGCATATCCTCATTTATCAGCTAGAATGAACTTGTTGGATTTATAGACGAGACAGTCAAATTAAAAGTCAGTTTCGACTAATTTTAAAATCTAACAAAATGTTGTATTTTTTCGAGTAATTTTATTCCACGCTGACAATTTCGGCGCAGTCGTTTTTATTTTAGAGAATTTCGTATCCGACCTTTTTGTTCGCATTTATTCATTTTATTTGTAATTTTTTTATTAATTAATCTTTTAATTAATTTAGAATCGATTTAGTTAACTTTATTTTTATTTTATCATTTATTTTTATTTCTTAGTTACATATTCTTTTAATTAAATTAATTTAGATTTCTTAGCTAATTAAGATTTCATTTTAGCTAATGTTATTTTATTTTATCACTTTCATTTTTTTAATATTATTTTTAAGTCAATTTTTAACTAAATAAATTTAGTTTGGTTTATATAATTAAAATTTTATTTTAGTTAACTTTAATTTTTTTTTAGTTAAACAATTTTTCAATTAGTTTTTAACTTAATTCAAGTTTATTTAGTTAATTATATATTTAATTTAGATTAAATTTTATTTTAATTTTTAGTATAATCTTTATTTTTTACTTTACATAATCATTACAACAAAAAATAATAATAAGAAAATAAGACCACACTATCGGCACTACGATCCCAATTCAATTCATCAAGCCCATTATACAAAATATACCAAAAAAAAACTTTGTCTAGTTTTAGGCTCATTGCCCATTTATCTGATGCAATTCAAGCTACACAAAAATTCAAACGATATTGATACAACAACCTGTAACATTTACGCAAAAAGGGTATTGATCTGATGTGATCAGAATGGATCATCGTGGCCTTAAATGTAGGGCAACAACAGTGGTCGTAAGAGAGGAGGAGGGTGTACCTGCAAGGTACTCCGATACCAAAGTAAGTTTGGGCTAGAAAGAGAACAAGTACAAGTGTTTAGATATGAATTAGAATGATTTGAATACCTGACCCTCTCGAGTGAGAGAGTATTTATGAGAATCCCCCAGCACGGGCCAAGGTCTTTGATGTGGCCGAAATATCTAGTCGACCAATAGGAGACTGCCAGGTGGAAGATCTAGCGCATGATCTTTGACCTGGTCCAAGTGTCCCTGTGAACTCCGGAGGGGCAGTTGGTCGCGTGAACTGTCAAGCGTGTGAGGGGGATGTCCACAACGGCTATATTCTCTAACGGCTATATTGTGCCTAACGGCTAGATTGTCTTAATCTTCTTATTAGGCATTGCCCAACTGTGAGCCATGTGTCAGTCCAGTCCAGAACAAGAGCTCCTCAAGTTGTTGCTCTGAGGTGAGGAGTAATGACTTGAGTTAGCCTAGCTGGTCGACCGATGGGTAGGAAATGCATCGTGGGGAGGATTTTTGAGGTCGTCCTTATTCAAACGAAAGTCTTCGGGGACGTGTCTGCCAATTGTCTATGGTTAGTATGGTCGACCGTTGATTGTTCATGGCCTTCCTTGGGATGCGAGGAAGTGGTCGCAGAAGGGATGTTTTTTCGTCGACCAGATTTACGCTTAAGGTAAAAAAAATGTCATGTCGATGAGGCTTCTGCTCGAATGATATCCTATGCATTATCGAGGAGGATGTACCCGCGGGGCGCTAGAGGGACTTGTCTTAGGAAATGTAAAGTGTTAGCTTTGAGACTGCCTGTTGCACCCTAATTTTTGACCGTAAAATCTCACCTCTTTTGTGCATATTTATGTTATTGTCACTAACAAGTGTGTGCAGGCGTATAAATTTCAAAGGTTGTAGACCCAAGAATTTGTGAGTCAGAAGTTCGCGTCCTTAAGTCAATTTCAAGTCTATAAGGGGGTTTATTACAAATTCAAGGACATGAACTCGAGCTAACAATCCAAGATATATGAACAAGAGGGGTCCTTATGTGGCAATCATCAAGATCCATCTCTAAACTTCAGTATTCATATTATCATAAGGTCCAAACTCAAATTCCAAGACTTCGACTCTTATGGTTTCAACCACATTGGAGGATTCGTGCTACATTTTCGTTTTAGTACATATGGGAGTTCTTATAATCCAAGGGATTCGTGGCCACGATAGTCAAGTTAACTTTGAAACCCAATTCAAGTTTCAAATTAAATTCAAGGACAGTTTTAATCAATTTATCATTCACACTCAAGTACTCAACTTACGAGCTCAAGGAGATCTTGCATCAAGATCTTATGGCCTCAAATTAAACACAGTCTGGACTTTACTATCAAAGTAGCATTATATTCAACTAAGCCAATTACAAATAGTCCAAGAATAATATTGAAAGATCATCACAAGAATTAATTATCCAAGAATTCCATCGAGCCATTACAACAAAGGCATTACAAATGTACACAATCCGTATACTTCATGAATTTTTGGCAACACGTGAATGATGAAGGCAACGCAGCAGCTAGCTTCATTGAGCTCATACCCAAGCCCTTGGTTCCATCTCCTAAGTAAACTCCAAGCTAAAGACGTACGACAAATCTCCATACTTTTCCTTTCGAAGCTCACATGCCATAACCTGCAGAACCACAACCGGTAATCAGGATACCGTTAAAAGAAATAAGTTAAGACTTAGAGTTAAAAGAAGAGGGTGAGATGATTTAAGTTCAGCCCTCAGGAAGCTCATCATTGGGAGAATCGAGCGGCCGGGAGAGCGACAACCAAGGTTGTCCCCAACTCCTTACCGAACATCGGAAGAATCGAATTTGGGACAAGAAAATAACTAGTTTCAGACAGTTTCCACACAAGGCAACCAACAGTATGCAAAGGCAACCATATTCTCAGAAGTCGTCCGGTTCAGACCATCAAGTCATCATTACCGTTATACCTTTCTCGGCACCGAAGTTCAGACCAAGTGGACTCTGAACTAATCAGCAACAACCTGTCGGGAGAAATGGACAAAGTCAATAAGCCTTTGGAACAACTCAAACAACAAACA